TCTCTCTCTATCTCTTTTTATTTGTAACAATTGCATGCAGACAAAGCTGTCTAGGAAAAATAAAAGTCACAGGGGTTGGGACAAACTATAACATGATGAGGCATATTTACAAAGGTCACATTTTATTTTCGTACTTTTGAAATAAAATAAAAAAAGTTGCAACTTCTAAAGCAGCCAAGACAGTGTTTTATTTTGTCCCAATCACTTGCTGATCAGCTTGGTCTGCATGTACAGTAAATGTGGACACAAATATAAGTAAAGGTATGTGGAAAAAAAAGAGAATTCATATATTAAATACTATCATTACGTTCATTAACCTCATACAGTTGTCAGAGATTTTATAGTGGTCTATTAAAGGATGTGGACTTTGAAGCAGAATTACAGGCCTGCAGTAGGTGTATGATATGCAAAAGATAATTTATCAAAACTGGAGCAGTGTGCTCATGGCAACCAATCAGCTTCTGTCTTTCATTTGCAAAGCTTAACTGAACAAACTGAAAAGAGAAGCTGATTGGTTGGCATGGGCATCTACTCCAGATTTTGTCTGCTCCAGTTTTGATAAATTTCCCCCAATGTGCTTTTTGCCTGCCCAACCTGTACAGAGCCAATGTATTGATACATCTTCCACCTCTCTATAAGCAGCCAGTAATCCTGGACATATTTTCTAGTTTCTAGCAATTTCAACTAGCTTTTGACTATAAAAATGATTAAAGGGGAAGTATTGGGAGAGTAAAATATACTTTCCCCAATACTTCGACCCGGCATGTGACACTGCAGGTGTCACATGCTGGCTCTATAGATAAAGAACTGAGCGATCACGATCTTCTCCCTGCAGAGAGTAATGGCTGTCAGTCACCCCTTGCCACAGGAATTCTCCCCTCCCCACTCTGTTACTTCAGCGTTCATTGGAGCGATGGGGAACATGGTGGACCCCGCTGGCTCTGGCACTAAAGGAGCAGAGCCAGCTGTCATTCACGCAGTGGGGTGGATCCCGACACAATATTTTTTTCGGGTGCAGCGCTGCTCTGCACTGTCAGTTAAGGAATGTACTAATTTGACCCAAAAGAGCCACATTGTAGACCACAAACTGAATGGTAGCTTGCAGTGTCAGGCGGCGGTAAACAAAGCTAGCAGGGTCTTGTCCTATATTAAGGGGATGTATTGCAGGGACAGGTCTATAATTGTGCCTCTATATAGATCGTTGGTTCGGCCACATCTGCAGTACGCGGTCCAGTTTTGGTCGCCGGTACTGAGAAGAGATGTCCTTGAACTGGAGAGAGTCCAGCGGAGGGCAACAAAACTAATTAGGGGAATGGAGGACCAGAGCTATGAGACAAGGCTTCTGACCTTAAACATGTTTACGCTGGAATTAAGGAGATTAAGGGGGATATGATTTTCATGTACAAGATGTTCAATGGTGACAGCAACATTGGCAACAAACTGTTTGAGATTAACTCCATTACAAAGACCAAAGGCCACCACCTAAAGTTGGTATAGAAAAAATTCCAGCACAATGGGCGAAGAGGGTTCTTTACAGTAAGAGCGGTTAAGGTCTGGAACTCACTGCCATCGGCAGTGATTTCAGCCAAGAGTGTAGATTTGTTCAAGAAACGTTTGGACAATTTCTTGAGGGACCGTAATATCCAGGGATACCAGTATCCCTAAGAATGAGATGATGCGTGGACCTATATGGGTGGGACTTCATGGACGTATGTCTTTATTCAACCCCAAATACTATGCAACTACAACTAAAGCCAAAATAAGGTTTGGTTTTAGTTCTCTTTTAAGCTAATTAAAGCAGCTCAACAACAATTGATATACTTATATTCATATGGCCGGAATGACGGTAGATTGCCTTTGTCCATTTAATCATTTTTTGCTATTGAAAACTGGTTGGAAGTAGTTGAAATATGTATAATATTGATTTATATGGCCAGCGTAAGAACCATGTTGGACAAGCCAATGAAACTTCACCAGTGGTGCAATCGGTTCAGCTATTGTTCTCGTTAGTGCAAGTTGCTCCATCAATTCCTGAAATGTTGCTGAAACTCAAACACTTGCAAGGAGCAGTAATGGTGCAATCGCTACTGTAGGCAGCACCTGAAGGGCTGAACGGACAGTCGGCCTGGCAATGACTCTGGCTCTCCTTCATCATTAAGTAAACAGCTGCCCTTATTGACTTTATGCAGTGTGCTGGAGACTATTAACTGGCGCTGGTCAGAACAAGGTTTAATATCCTCTGCAAAATGTGGTCTACTGATAGTTTTTGTTGCACATTATATGTCTATTTTTGGCCTATAGGTTTTCTTACAAGTGTCCTTTAACTTCGATCAGTTAGTTGTGCCAGCCTTCAATAAACTTGCTTCTTTTTTTTTGATACTTGGTAACATTTATATTCCATCAGCAGTTTTTTCTGCGTTTTATGTATTCATTTGTTGTATAATTGAAGTTTCAGGGGATGATTTTAGCCCAGATGGTGGACTTATTAACTGTGAAGGTAGCATTGATTGGATCAGTCACAATTATCCCAATATTAGGATACCTCATAGCTGGAGGATATAAAAAAAGACTCATCTGAATATCCTTATAGAAGTAATGGGTGACAGATAAGAATTTCAGTTTCTAATAATCAGCTGAGCTTCTCTCATGATTCTGGAGCTAATTATAGAATGTTATTCGTGAGTTCTCCATATCTCGCTCGGCCTGTAATTATAGCTCCACTATTAACAAGCTCCTTTCATAGCCGCAGGCGACAGCTCTGTGAGGTCATCTCTTTGCCTTCAGTCCTGTCTGGCTATCCTTTGCTCACATATTTGCATATGTTACATATGTACGTTTTTGTGGCGCTCCAGTGTGGACATTATTTCAAACCCATGTGTCTACTTTGTGATTGAAACGTGTGAGTTACATGTGCTGACAGGGCGGTTGCTTTGAACCCTAAATTGAAAACCAGCTTATTGAGAGTTCAGTGTATAACTTTACAATATTTCTCTTATATTATATTTTTTACTATTTTTTTTGCTGTTGTACACTGAAAATCCATGAAACCGATTTTTCATATTGGGGTTTAAAGTGTATTTCCACCTTAGCATCCAAATTTGAGAAACCCCTGCTATGTTTGTTATGTGTTCCCCATTGAAACAGCATAGCTAAAAATAATAGAAATAAAATTTAAAAAAAATATTTCTTACACTTTTAGTTGTTTCTTTGGAGCAGGGTCACACACAGGACTTTATAGGCAGCTTCAATGTTTTTAAAATAACTCGCTGAACAATTCATTCCAGGGATACTTAGTCTGGCTGTATATTGGTGGATTTTTGTTCTTATGAAATATCTGGTCCGAACATTCGATAATGTCGACAGAGACTGGACTGATGGCTTTTGAATTTTTTTTTCAGTTTAACATTTGCTTTTGGAATGAATGGAGTTTCCTGAACGAAAACCACATTCAGTGTTAGAATTTCGTTAATTTTGGAAAAAAATTCCATCCTGCTACTTTTTGATTTTGTCTTCTACCGAATACAATTGTCAATTTGAAATTATTAACTATTAGTAAATCGATTGAACGATTCGAAAACCAATTTTTTTCAGGCAAAATTCTTCTGGTGTATGGCCAGCTAAAGGGACATATTTTTTTTTAAAGTGCAATAAGAACGTACTACCCAGACTAGGGATGCACTGATACCGTTTTTTTGGTAGCGAGTACCGATTATTTATTTTTTTGGTACTCACTGATATCGGTACCTTGTGCCCCGATTATCAGGAAGTCGGGTAGCAGATCATGACCTGTCGCCCGCCTTCCTGATTTCCTGGGAAGCCGGTGTTCTATAGAAAGGACACCGGCTTCACTTGCCCAGGCTGCATTGCTTCCTGACCATCAGGAAGCCGGGCGGCAGGACATGAGGTGCTGTCTGGCTTTCTGATTGGTCAGGAAGCAACATGTGAAGCCGGCTTCCCAACCAATCAGGAAGCTGAGGGGCACGTCATGGGCGCTTCATGATTGGCTAGGAAGCCGGCTTCGCTTGTTGCTATGCAGCATGGCTTCCTGACCAATCAGCAAGTCAAAACGTGCCGTCTGGCTTCCTAACCCACCAACAAGTGAAGCTGGCTTACTAACCAATCAGAAAGTCGGGTGGCATGTCATGACCCCCGATTGGCTAGGAAGCCGGCTTCACTACCCAATCAGGGAGGCGGGTCATTACCCACCACTCAGCTTCCTGATTGGAAAGGAAGCCGGCTCCATGATCCCTCGGCACTGCCAGTCAGAGGGAGATCTCCCTCTGACCGGAAGTTCCAATATCGGAGCATTTGGGCAGGTTCTGTAATAATAGTATCAGTATTGGTGCATCCCTAACCCAGACCTTGATATCTTTAACACTTTGTGAGGTATGATAGTGTGCACATCTCTGAAAAACAGCGCAGCAGAGATAGGGATAATTATTGTAAACATGACTCCCCAAACCTCTCCTATAGAAAGGGGAACTAAATAAAGTTTTTGGGCAAATAAAAAGATAAGCAGCATTTTTTATATTTTTGCTATGTGAATGGGAACTTGAAATGTTAAGTAGGCATTATCCCAATTTGACAGCAAAAGGGTAAATGTGCACTATTGCATCAGTACTTGTAAAGAACCTGTTTCAGTTGTGTAATACAATTATTATTATTATTAGTATTTCTTCTATTATTCTTTGACCTGCCAAGTAACCCTCAGAATCATACAATTGTTATTTTCCTAAATTATTGAGAAGTAATTTCTTATATTGTTCATACATACCCATAGTATGATTTCAGTAAATAAAGTGAAAAAATCAAAACCTGCATGAAGTGGACATGAATATGATGAGGCATGCTTTGTGTGGAGGCGACATACCTCCACTGTTTAGCTACATTTATCTTATGAGTGGGAACTGTCATGTTACATTGCTGCATCTCCTGTCATGTTGCTGCTCAGTGCAGCTGTCCAGCCATGTTCATGACCCCTCTGTCTCTTTCTGCTGCAGTGATTCCACAGAGGTGATGATGCATTCTAATGACGCTTTTGCTCCTGTGGCTTATCTTCGAGTGCTGCAGCTTCATTTGGAGGATAAAGTGAGTAATGTGTGTTTTGTAAACCATAAAGGGGAACTTCTATCAGAATAAAATGGATGGATAACATAAAAAATTCATCTAGGTACTTTGATATTTCCTTTTTAACATGAACCCAGTATGGAATGTTAAAAATCATCTCCCATCTCTAGATTTGAATTACAGTAAGCATTTTACATGGAGGAGGCATGTGTGCGACCGCAGCCTAGAGCGCTTTAGAAAGGTGGCTTGGTGGGAGAAGTCACAAGGATGTAGGTAGCCTGCTGGAGCAAGGAATAAGGTAAGTATTAGTCCTCATGCCTGCATCCCTAGACTTGATGAGCTGTTAACCCTTGCAGTGCAAGAAGGTGGTGGGGAGAAGTTTGCCCTGCAAGTTTTTTTTTTTTTTGTCTTGTGCCCGCAGTTTTGGTTTTAAGCACGGTCAAACTGAATGATTACTAGGGTATGCACAAAGTCCCTGCTCATTTACAATGTTAGTTATTGGGGACATGACAGCATAGATCACACTCCAGATGAGCAGGCCTGCATTCACTATGCAAGACGCCTTAACGTAACATTAAACTCTCAAACCTCTATTGATAATTAATCCAGATAAAAAAAATATACATTGCCCAGCAAAGTATCGCCTTATATTTTTGCCCAAACACTTACAATTACCATGTTTCTGAACAGCTGCTTCCAAGTTTCTCAGCCCGCTTCCCTGAACTTCCTATCCAGTACATCTAGCTAGTAGAAGGGTGGAGGGAGGAGAGGGGGCCAGGGGAGAGGGGAGTAGCTTGATTTGCTGTGTCTGTGTGTTTGTGGAGACACACACAGCTTATTATAACACACAAGGGTGGCTCCATAGAACTCTACTTGAGCAAGGAGCCACCCTAAAACAGGCAGGATTATTCACAAAAAGGGTGAAGAGTTTGGAGAAGGCAGGAGAAGTGAACAACCTAGGCCAAAACCGCTGAACTGGAAAGTGAGCTGAATTGGAGAATTTCTCCAAATCAGCTATTTTGGCCTAGATTGCTCACTTCTCCTGCCTTCTCCAAACTCTTTACCCTTTTGTGAATAACCCTGAGGATGCCAGGGCCAGTGCTCAGGGTACCAGCTAATTCTGCAGGAAAAATAAAACGTTTTAATATAAATAAGCAGCATCAATTGTAAGTGATTTAATCAGCATTTGGAATAGTGTAAACCCCTTTTGACTTTAATATCACTTTAAAGCTATACTATAATGGCCTTTGGTCAATGGTATTTGCATTTTGGTTAGGGGAGTTCACTTCACTGACTCATTCAGCTCTCTATTTAGCACAACTTCATGAGCTATTTAGATTTGATTAGAGAACCACCTACTGGCTGCAAGTGGTAAATATTAAAAAGCCATGTGCAATATTTTATTTTTACCAGATTTAATTAAAGAAAACTTTTCATTTATCTATAGGGAACAAAATGCTCTATATAACAATTCTCTTTAAAAGGAACAGGTAATCCAATCTCCATTAGTAGCTTCAGTTGTAGCCAAGGCTACAGAGTGAAAGCACCTTGTGAGTTTAAACACTTACTCCTGGCACTAAGTGAATATCTGCCTATTATTTCATTATAATGTTGCCAACCTTTTATTCAAATTTACAGCTTCCTCCTTCCTTTTTTTGTCCCAGCTTGGTGAAGGAAATGTGTCATTATTATATCTAAAGGGAGGGAATGTGGGAGGTTTATGGTGGTTTGTGTCTCGCTATAACAACTGACCCTTTCACTTCTCTATGTAGGCTTGCAGTGCAGCGCTGAATTTAGGGGAGCCATGTCCTTGTGATGTAGACCAGCTTGTGCCACATGAATCAGAGCCACACACTGAAACAGAACATAAACCGTTGGCATTTATACCCCAGCAATGGCCATCAGGTAGTTCCTTTTCCCTTGTTGATGCTCTTCCTCCATCATACAGACCCTGTTAGCAAACATAATAAATAAGATCATTCCAGTTTGTGAAATTTTGTTTTATCTCTAACCAAAACCTTTTTTTCTGGTCTTGGATAGCTTGGGAAATGGTAATTGATTAGAAAAAACAAGGGAACAAAAAGGAGTATAATGCTAACTAAGACAAAAAAGTATATATATATATATATATGTTTGACCAAACTTCAGGGTTTCAATAGACTATTCAAAAAAATATTGTCCCCTATGAAGAGAAATCCCTCAAAAAGAAGATGGTCTGATGAATAGATCACAATTGATTAAGTAATATAACAAAATTTAATAATCATTTACACATAAAGACACCAATGCAAAACATTTAAAAACAATTAAAAAAGCTTCCCTGAGTCACCTAAATATAATGATGTAGATATTCAGATATACAAATCTCCTAAAAAGCAGGAAGTCTCTGGTGCAGGCAGAATGGTGATATATCAAAAATAGACTAACGGAGCTGTACTCACGTTGTGTTTTTAACCCGTAGTGGAATAGTCCCTGTTGTATCCCACAACGATACTTGCAAGTAGACTGTTTCAAAAAACTGTATCCGATTATAACGATTTCATTTCAAAGAGGTCCGCTTCAATAGCGGAGCAGAGGTTCCTTGAATATTTTTTTCCGTCTGTTTTTACTCACACCACTGTGTGGGATTAGATTCCAATTTGAGGGAAACGGAGCCTCAAAGGAAGTATCCACTCGTGCGGCCGCACTGTGGGATGGAGTCTGGTGGAGTCCTCACAGCAGTATGTCCAGTGACACGGGGAGGAATAGGAGCTGTGTATATTTACACTGGCAAAGATTCGCTCTCGTCTCCCGGTCTTAGCTGCAGTGAACACAAGCTATTGCCGCTGTGTTCAGGCCCTCTGAAGAAGCCCCGGCCATCGGGGGGAAACGCGTCAGGACAGCGTGTGTTCCAGCTTCCCAGAACACCCACTATTGATTTCTAAATGTTTGGGTGAAAGCAGGACGAAGGATCTCTGCAGCCGCCGAGTCTAGTGGATTAAACAAACCCGATGCGGACACTGCCTGAACACAGCGGCAATAGATTGTGTTCACTGCAGCTAAGACCGGGAGACGAGAGCGAATCTTTGCCAGTGTAAATATACACAGCTCCTATTCCTCCCCGTGTCACTGGACATACTGCTGTGAGGACTCCACCAGACTCCATCCCACAGTGCGGCCGCACGAGTGGATACTTCCTTTGAGGCTCCATTTCCCTCAAATTGGAATCTAATCCCACACAGTGGTGTGAGTAAAAACAGACGGAAAAAAATATTCAAGGAACCTCTGCTCCGCTATTGAAGCGGACCTCTTTGAAATGAAATCGTTATAATCGGATACAGTTTTTTGAAACAGTCTACTTGCAAGTATCGTTGTGGGATACAACAGGGACTATTCCACTACGGGTTAAAAACACAACGTGAGTACAGCTCCGTTAGTCTATTTTTGATATATCACCATTCTGCCTGCACCAGAGACTTCCTGCTTTTTAGGAGATTTGTATATCTGAATATCCACATCATTATATTTAGGTGACTCAGGGAAGCTTTTTTAATTGTTTTTAAATGTTTTGCATAGGTGTCTTTATGTGTAAATGATTATTAAATTTTGTTATATTACTTAATCAATTGTGATCTATTCATCAGACCATCTTCTTTTTGAGGGATTTCTCTTCATAGGGGACAATATTTTTTTGAAATGGTAATTGAACCTCTTTTTATGGGTTAATGTTTTTATGGATGTGCCTATGTTCTCTGTGACAAAGACAGAAAGGAAAAAAACTCTCCAATGGCAACAAACACAATAAAACCAGTAAAGTCTTACAGAGGTTCCCTTCTCATCCATCCAAAACCAAAAATGATTACAGTTTTTGGCTTGTTTTCCATTCTAATTGCATAGGTGCTGTTTTCACAAACATACCACAATTATATAGTTTTCTGTTGTATTTTTTAATATACCGGAGTGGGTATTATTGTTTTGGATACTTATAGCTAGAGCATTGTCTTATTTCTGTTCCACAAAAGGACAAAAAGGGGTCTTCCTACAGTCATGCTACTGCAATGGCACATTAATAAAGCACAGCGATCTGCTTAGTGCTTCAGGATGTTGGACGTTCGGGAGTGTACATGTAAAAATTCTTTTAAATCAAGTTGTCTTTTATTTAGAATTATAGTACAAAATGATAAGCAGTTACCCATAGCAAAATGTTAGGTCTGAGAAATGAAACCTGACTTGGGAATTGAAGTCTGATTAAGAAGCAGGAGCCCAATACTGAACTGTTTAATCAAATGTGACAATGCTAAATGATAAAACTCCATAGTAAGCAAATATGGCATGTGGGTTCTTACTTGAATCTTAGTTGCCCTGTAAATTTCTTTCAAATCTGTGCAGTAATCCGGTGTGATGGCTTCCTGTAATAAAGACTGGTCACTTCTGGCCTCTCTCCCTGTGCATGGTAACTGGTCTTGTATCCAGAATATAGAAAGAAACTTGTTGCACTCCTTACCGGATGCCCCAATGACAGGGGAGGGTGCTTGTAGTGAGCGCGGATGGCACTGCTGGTTACAGGAATCATTTGAAGAAATGTCACCACCACACCGTAAGTCCTTTCAGGATAACCATGTGTTCATTTAGTAAGAACCAAGTCAAGTAAAAACAAGCGCTTTCGGGGCCACGCAGGGGCTCTTCATCAGGCTTCACATTGACGATGTTGAGCCTGATGAAGGGACCCTGCGTGGCCCCGAAAGCGCTTGGTTTTACTTGACATGGTTCTTATTAAATGAACACATGGTTATCCTGAAAGGATTTTTGGTGTGCTGGTGACATATCTTCAATTGGTCTTGTATCCACCGCCCTGTAGTTTTCTATGGCCTGCCTGTAGTGGTTGGGGCCTGTGTGGTCCCTTCCACAGCTCTGCCCTCTGCTCAGGTTATGTACACCACAGCAATGGTGTCACTGCTACTTTTACAAGGCAATAACTGTGCTTGAAAACGGATTTGGTACACATGAAGTGTATTTATATCCTTTGAGGAATCTATTTAAAGTGTAAAATGTACCTACGGTATGTGTGTAAACCCTAGCTATAATGCATCTCATTTTATCCTGTCTGCGAATCATACTATTGAAATTGTTATGTTATATATGTTTGATAAGTGCAAAAGATACCCAATGATCCTGCTAGAAATCCAGTAAGCTCGTAACTTCCTGTGGACTCTGAATTGTTATCTCGAGCACTTTTTATTACTCCTGCCCAGTTCATCTTTGTGGACTGACAAACACCTTCCTCCATGTAATAGAAATACAGAGAAAGGGAGGTCCTCTGTAGTCCAAACACTTTCTGTCCTCGGGTGACACTGAGTGTTTTCACCCTAGGACAGGAAGTGTGTTTCTGGCTGGATTACCAGATGAAAACAAAGGGGAAAGAAAAAAGCTCCAAAAAAGAAAACCTATGCAGCCACCACATCTAAGGACTGGTAAGCTGCAATGTATACATTTGTCTTCTTTGGCTTAGATGTACTTTCAATACAATTTTTTGAGCCCGGAGTTAACTTGTCTCCAATATTTGAATTATAAATAAGTTTATACTAAAGTGGTCATGTATTGCAAAACAAAAAGGAAGATCAGAATCTGAACATAGTTTCTCAAATACGTTCTTGTTTTCAGGTAGCGGTGTCCATTGGTCATCTCAGACTTGCAGTGGATTCCGATGGATGAGTGGAGTTACGCCCTGCAGCAGTAATATACAAGAAGCCACCCTCACGGGCCTGTCATCATTTAAAGGTAAATATGTATAAGTGTAAGATGACAAATTGTACAGTACTCTTGGACACTGCCTAGGTTATTGGACCGTCGGACCCATTCCAAGAACAAATGAAAAGTTATCCTTATGTACGGCTAGTAAAGCTGTTTGGGAAGGGCTGTAATTGTGTACTAATCAGGGTGTGTTCTTTATTATTATTATAAGAACAATAAGAACACATTGCAATTCTTAGACACATTTAATTGTAGGATCTCTGTATTTCTTATTATTTTCAAGGACCAGTTGTAATAACTCTTATTATCACTGTGGTGGCTGATGGGTTTTTACTCTGTCAGCTAGTACAGCAAATGAGGGTCATGCCGTACTCATAAAAAAAGCTCATTTTGGGCAGTGTGTCTTAGGTGTGGAATAGAAGAAAGGAAAAACTACTACATAAGCCAATATGCAATCAACAGTCTTGTTTAACCCTTTCACTTCTGGGCCCTACCCTCCACATTTGGCCAATGCATTTTTGCATTTTTCACTTGCAGTTTGTAAAAGACCCCCAAACTATACATTTTATGAAAGCGCAGGACCGATGAAATAAAAGAAAAAAAATGGATGCTATTGACTTTGTATCCTGTGATAATTTTCACTGAAAATACACTAAAATCATTATTACCGCACAACATAACTAAATGCCTACTGAATCTAACTTTCAAAGTATTTTAATATTTTTTTCAAAATACAATGAAACAATAAGATAGCACATGATGCACAAGCAGTATAGCATACAATTGCGTCTCAGAGTCTTCCACATTAGCATAGTCAGGTAGTAAGAGGGGATCACTAGAAACCATACACACAATGCATAATAATTCTGTGAAACAGAACATATATATCCACCTACTCTTGCCAAATTATCCCCCATCAACAAAAACAAAACCAAAACAGTTTGAGACGAATATCAGGCATAGGGATCCACCTGTGTCTGAGGCAAACATTTGGTATGACCTCTTCCATAGCTATATTCATAAAAGGCTTTCAGTCCAACATCAATGTACTAAACAGCTCACATGCGTGAGCCTAAAGAAGGAAGAAACAGAAAAGAGGAAGAAAAAAAAAGGAAAAAGATACTAAAAGAAGCAGAACAGCTTAAGAGTCCGAAAAGAGTAGATCCGTCCCCGACCAGATAGCCCGACATCTACATAAACATTAAAAATAGAACCCCCAAAAAATAACAGAAAAATTGTACAATCTAAAAGATAAAACTGTTTTGAGGTAATAAACAACAAATATTTGTACATTTTAAAATGAGCCTATTTGCAAAACGGTGAAAATCAATAGTACGCCCAGCTGTAAACAAGTGACTTGCGCTAAAAATCTGAAGGTTGGCCTCACACCTATGTGTTTTGGTAAGGGTCCAATCCACAGCAGCGCGTGTGCTGTATTTGTGTGCATTGTGATATAATGATTCAGGCATACATATTTTATCGCAATGCTCTGGTTACAAAGTGCAGCAGCTTGTCTAAATGTACTATTGTGCATAGTGTTGGATGATTGTAAAAAAATCAAGCACTGCAATGTGTTGTAACAATGTACTGCTTGTGTACAATGCACTCTAGCATGTGTTATGCACATTATAATGTTCATTCACCAGTGTGAATGGGCCCTACGTGTGCTGATACATCTCAGTGCACCAACACTTGTAACGTGTAATACCACAATGTGTGTAGTGCATATGTGTATGGTGTGTGTGTTGTAGTGTTCAAATATATGGCGGGAAGTATAAATATATATCTACCCAAATATATGTATTTATATTTATATGCGTTGTGAAAATCCAGGCAACCTCAGTACTTTTCCAGAGAGTAGCGTTTAATTGGATCGAAAAAACAGATGAACAGGAACAGTCCAACAGAGTAATACAGAGTAAAATATCTAGACCTCAGATGACAAAGGGTTCCATGATGACCCACTCTATCTACCCAGCATAAATCTCCACCTCTGTGTACCTCTGTGCCTCTCTTCATGACTCTGAACTCTCTTCTCAGCCACCTTAGGCTCTCTATTCATATACAGTTTAGTGCCATTCACTAACACTGAATGGATTCTGATTGGCTGGTCTAATTACCCCTTTGATGTTGGTTCCCTACAGCTGTTCCATTGTGTACAATCAACAAAACAGGATGGTCAATAAACTAACACAATAAAAACCTAGTTAGCATAGGTGTGTTAAATAACATCAGCTAAAAGATAGTGACAAGTGTTTGCAAACAGACATGGGCAGCAGCCTGTACAAATCAATGACAGGCTGACAGATGCCGCAGATGATCACAGCTATTCATTTAGTCAGGAGAGTCAGGGGAACACTTCTGTTATAAGTTCATGGTTGCTGAAGCGTCCATAAGCGAGTGAGCCGGCCAGTTTGAAGCGGCTCTGTTAAGACATAAGTCATCTGCAACAAAAGGATTGAAAGTGTATGCATGATATGTGTATTTACATGGAGAAAATGTGGAAGCTTTAGTTTAAACATGTGATCATGGAAGTTTTTTTTTAAATGGCTAATTCATTTTAGAATAATCTAAAATGCTAAATTGATTTTGTTAGATTTGGATAGCCTGTGGAAGGTTAGAACGTCTTCCAGGGGTGTGTGCCTCCTTCTGGGAGATATTTTCTTGAAATTCTGCTCACATCCTGTCCTGATTGCAACACAAGAAATGCACCAGTGGGGACATAAATAGCCATAAATACCTGATAGAGATTCTCACACTTCTGATTTCTATTCAAAATAGTAAAAAAAAAAAACAGTTGGCTGGGGTTCCGCTGTACATTTATCATGTCATAATCTGGCTGATCATACATCCTGTAGAATATTGCATCTGCTATTTAGCAAATATCAGTGCCATGTGTGGGCAGTAGGAACAGTTGTACCACATCTACACACATGCAATGATGTGACCCACATAAATCTTCTATCCCAGCTGTTTGATATGGTAGTGGATATCGCGGAGGCATATGTAGTCTGGTGTTTACTGTTGTAGGGTAAAATTGATTGTCATCAGCAGACTCCAATAAACACGCATACTCTCAGATTAAACCACAAATGAGATGTTCTGGAAATAGACATCTCATGGGCTTGCTTCTGGTTTAGTGGCCAAGAGATGGAACTCAAATAATTTTTTTAATAATTGGATTTAGGTGTGTTAAAGTGTCTAATTGCCTATTTGTTCTGAGATGAAGGTAGATGTCGTTTAAAGACATTAGGCTGAGCTCTGAAGGGAGTTTTCAAGATGATGGTTTTAAAATTGAAAAGCGTGGCAATTCACATCGCAATAAAACGCAACAAGTTGGTAACAGGAATTGTAGAGAAATGTCTAGCTGAACCGGGGTGAAGTGCTGCCCTCTGATTACATCTCTCTGTTCCACATGGAGTTTGCACTCCACAGCCTCTGCTATCATGAAATCCTTCCATCTGATGCCAGTCTTGACTAAAATAGAATTTAAAGAACACAGTTCATTCAGTACAACACATTCAGTACAACACATTCAGTAAAACATATGCACTGTCTGTAGCAATTTACCATTATCATTGTTTGGAAAAAAACAAAATGCATTATTTGTGTCTATAGTATAAAGAAAACATGAGAGAAATATATTGGTTGAAATATGGAGCCTAGTTATCATAAGGACCCTCTGGACTTAATGCTTTCTGAGTCACTGACGTGAAACAAGACTAATATTTGGGAGTTGTGACTTCACTGGTTACATGCTTGCTCTTGGGCTGTGACTCAAAGTATTACAGTTAAAGATGACTAGCAGTGGCAGCCACTATATTTCTCCTATTAAAGGTTTAATGTTTACCCTCTCTAGCCTCATCTTGCTTCTGTGAGTTCAAGGAAACAAATTAGCCATTACACACTATGTAGCCCCATCTAACACAGCTAATCCCCCTCCACATTGGTAACTTGTCAACAGCTGCTAGGAACTAATGTTTTTACCAGCACAGCATCGGTATATACTCATTATAGGTATACCAACCCATACTCTTGTATAACCAGCTTACCACTGACGTGCATTGTGGGTAGGTGGATGTACTTTTTTGGAGCATTGTTTAAAAATAGCTATCTCTGTTTAGTACTTGTGTGCACTAGGCATGCATAGAGTGCCTTTGGCCTTTGGACACGCTCATTGGCCATCGCAGATGACAGGAAAAATGCCCAGAACTAATCAGATTGGCTCTGTGTCTTGTGATTGCTGTGATGGTCAATCACAGCCATTGCAAATGTAAACACTGCAAGTTGTGAGAGGAAGGGGAGGGCTCTCGAATGTAAACGCTTGCAGTGTTGTCCATTGCACGATCCCAAGGCACAGAGTGACAGAGGAGGATTTTAACAATGAAGGATTTACTAAATGGTCTATGTATGACTTTTATGATGTGCTGTATCTGATGTACTGTTACCAAGCTCCCTTTTTTAGCCCCCTCAAACCCAGCAGGTTTCTTCATTTCCAAAAACTAAAAATTGGGCTGGTAATGAAGGGGTATATACAGGCTAGTACTCAGGTGGTTAAGCATACTTCCTTCATACACCAATATCCATTTACTTAAAGGTATAGATAGTAATATTCAGCAAATAGTTGTAAATATTTATTTTAAAACAAAATATTTATTGTTGTAGAGCCCTTCTTAAGGCCCCGTTCACACCAGGGCGTTTCCACCAACATTAAAAAACCCATTCAATCCTATGGGACTCGTTCACACAAACGCGCGCGTTTTACTTTGCTTGTCACCCGAACTGCTCCCTGCACTACTTTTTCGTTGCTGATAAGCGGGTTTTCCATATAGACTTCAATGGAAATGCACTGATTAGCACTTTTTTAATCGCGTTTCATCGCTGAAACGCGCATAAAAATGCCCGTTCAAAAATTGTGCAGAAAACTCACTGAAACGCTGTGGCCCTGGTATGAATTGGGCCTTAGAGAAGTATGTAGTATTTGTATATCTTTAAAAAAAAAATGCTTCAATTGGGCCTAAGAAAGAATTTAGGCTCGTCTCAGTCATGATGCTTCTTCTGTCTGACAAACCAGCCATTACACACATTGCAGCTCCATCAAGCATTAGCCCCTATCCTCATCCATATTTGTAATCTTTTAGAGTTACAGAGGGGGAATTAGCTCCATAGACATCATTTTGTAAGAGTTGTTTGACTGTTGTGGTATTGTGTGTTATTATATATGTACTCAAGGACAGCCATATTTGCTTTAGCATATGCAGGCTCTGCTTCCTGCTTAGTAGTGCAAGTGCAGTCACATTAAAAGTCTACCAGACAGGGTCTGTATGATTGATGAACGTTCTGAAGTCTCTGTTGACTTCTAACAATCAGCATGCTCCTTGTACCCAGAAACCATACGCTCCTGGCTGCTGATCTTGAGGAGGGGACCTTGGGAGCAAAATGTTTTTTGTTTAAGGGAATAAAGGTATTATTAAAAATAAAAAAACTATGCAGTTTAGTATTGCTGCCCTGTGATCCATTTGAAGTAAGAACTTCTGCCATATGTCCACTTTCAAGCCCATCTCTGGCCTAATAAAAAAAAAAAAAAAAGAAGGGTCCCCCAGCATTATACAAACAACCCCTAAAAAGCAGCCTAGGCTGCAATAGTTACTTTCCATCCAGAACAGTCTTTGTAGTACTTCTTTTCGGACACATGTCCTCATTCTTCTGTGTTAAATGACGCCCAGTGTCACACAAACCTGAAAGACTATGGACATACTGTAGAGGTGTCACCACAGCACCCTGCATTCATTTGAATTTTTTGAGAGAGCAATGCTGCTGTCATCATGTCAGGTCTTCTCTCTGCACCCCCGAAGACCGCTCACCACTTGAGAAGACTGGGAGAAAGAGGACTCAATGTATCATATAACCGGCCAGAAGGCATTGGAAAAAGGTAATTATACATACACCTTGTAGGCCTTCATCGGGGACATGGGAGGAGATTTAAAGTAAACCCGTAAGGATGGGACTATCTGAACATCTGCTGATTTTTAATGCTTTGGGGCTGTTGTGCTGAAAACTACCTACTGAGTCACTGGCCTGAAGTAAGTATCCAGGACAGGTGTTCAGACTTTTCAGATTTCACTGCATGCTTGTTATAGGTCAGCTGCTGTATTACCATGGATGAAGATTACTGGCCTTTGCCCAGGATGAGTTTGGGGTTGAACCAAAAAAATGTACTGATTAATGTCCATAATAACACTGGACAGTAACGTCAGGTTATTGGGCAGCTTCTGATGCAAGATTGTTGTATTGACCTTCGCTGTCTAAATTCCAGCCAACGTTCAATTTATCTTTTCTTACAGACAACATGTAGGTGGAAATGTTGTGCCACCTGTATACTAGTCATTTACTTTTGATTGAATGCAATATCTAAACTGTTGATAGATTGTTATTTTCAATTTAGATTATGACATTTATTGCAGCACAAGTGGAAGAGAAGGGTCTACAGATGAGCGACGCTGTGCTAGTTCACTTGTATGTCCAAAGCATGGATGACTTTGCAGCCATCAATGCCGAATATGGGAGACTCTTTCCTGTGGCACCGCCTGCTCGGTAAGATCATTTCCTTAAGGCTAGTTATTAAAGTGTGCTTTCAGCTGGCGACATAATTAGTAACTCAGCTAGAATAGCATCTGGAGGGTATTGCGTTAAACCTTGGTTTTGATACACACACCAAAGAGGCTGTCAGGATCCCCCACGTGTTGCTGTACCTTTTAAGGAGGTATAGATACTTTAAATCCACCTCCAGC